CATAGAGACAAAGATTTTCTATCTTGAGCTAATCGCTGTGCAAAATTATGTCCCTTGGCAGTGTCAGGATCCGCAAATAGTGAGTTCGAATTCAAGATAAGTCCCGATAAATGTTGGCTCGTCACAACCATACCCGTGCTCGTGGGTTTTCGAAAATGAAGGTCAAAGACCTGCATCATCATCCCCCCCCCACACACACACACACATCAAGTGTGCACGTACTGTATCTCAATATTGTGTAAATGAGCGTCAAATCCAACCCACACACTAATGAAAACATGTTAAACATTACATTATTTGTGCATTATGTACAAACATATGTTAGAAGGCTTTAAATCACTTTTAATATCTACATTATATTCGGATATACAAATATAATGTCTACAGAGAAATGTATTTAAAGCGGATTCCGGGTTACAAGTGGTCGCCTCTGCTTGTCGTGGACTAAGTTGACCGGTGGTCAGGTTCGTATCCCGACATCGTGGATCGTTGCTCATAATATTAATCATTGATGTGTCTGGTCCAGACTCGATTATTTACAGGCCGCCGTTATATCGCTGGCGTTAAACAAGTGAGGCGTTAAACAAACAAACTGTGTTATCAACTAGATATGATAATCATATACATTCTATTGATACACTAATTATTACAAAAATATGCCTGCAACCATGCTTGTCGTAGAAGGCGCCCATGAGTGTCGTAAGAGGCGACTAAAGGGATCGGGTGATCAGGCTCGCTGACTTGGTTGATGTCATCGATCCCAATTGTGTTGATCGATGCTCATGATATCAATCACTGGATTGTCTGGTCCAGACCCGATTATTTACAGATCGAATATTTATAGCTGGAATATTGCTGAGTGCGGCTTTAAACAACCAACCAACCAACCTTTGAACATTAAACTCCAATCAGAGTGCGCGAGTGTGGTTTTACGCGGCAATACCCTGCAATACCACAGCGGGGGACACCAGCAATGGGACATTGTACCCATGTCGGGAATCGGAGTCGGGTCTTAAAGCGAACACTTTAACCACTGGGCTACCCCACCGCCCCACTTCGATCAGATCTCAATACATGGACGTCACTGAGGTACACAGATACCCATAGCGTTCAACAATCAGTGTAAAAGAAAATAAATCAAAAGTTTCATATCAGTAAATTAAACGAAACACGCGTATTTCAGACTACATGTTTTTAATATACACCGAGGGACAAAATAAACTATACCTCTCAGTTGATGTTATCATGTGTTTGATTTTCATGATTAATAAAATATATCTTAAGTTAGCGACATTGTATCCAAAACATGAACTGCATGGGCGCTTAAACAACTCTCAAAGAATATTTCTACATAGTTTTATTTTTAAAAATCAATTTGATTTTAAAATTTAAACTTTGTAGAAATAATCGCATAATACACAACTACTGATGGATATTTTAGACATGTTATCAATATATTACTTTTTTGGGGGCACAAATTTACATTTCAAACAAGGTTGGGGTCATATCAGTTTCTTACCCCAGTTTTCATTGAACCAATCTATTTTTACACAAAATTACCCAGCCAAAGATGACTTTTTACAAACTGTAGCTGGAATGAGAGATGACTAAATTGACATGATCAAATTAAACGCCAGTTCTTCAATTTTCATTTACATAAAAAAACAAACTCTGTATACTTTCTTTTGCTCCTCAGTTCATATTAGTAGAATAGTTAGCAAATATTTATCTTCCTTTTTTTTATAGAAGTTTAGATGAGTTTTCTCGGCGTCTGGTCACAGTTGTTACAGAAACATCATGGCCGCATCATGGCTGCGGGTTACGGGATAATAAGCAGTGGTTTTTTTGCCTCATCTCAAATTAATTCTAAACGTCTGAATTAAATATTGCAACTGATGTCAGGAGTTGGTTTTTAGTGATAAAAAACACTTGGAGATATTATTAGTATGTTTGTCTCGCCTTGGCAAACGTGATGAAGTCCTGTCGTATCTATTCCTCATATATGACGTCATTAGCCTATTAAACGTAACGTGGTGTTGACAGATACTGAAATATACACCGCTGTGTTGAAACATTTACTCAAAAGTCAAACATGTTTTGTATTTTTTTGTTCTACGATAAATAAAAACGATAGGAGATGATCGGTTACATATCATTCCTCGGGCGTCAGTTCAAAAATAATTATACCAATGTGTGAAATTCTAGATATATATGAGATGTGTTAGATGAAACTGTCGACTAATGATTGACATATGAAAAGATACAAGGAAAAACGGAACACTGACACCAAACTTTTAAACACGTTTTCATCGTCGTATAAATAAACATACTCAGCAGGAACCAGGTACGGCAAGTACATCAGCAAGATATCAAGATATTTCGATATTTCAACAGGGGGCGGCACGGGAGGCCCAGTCTTCTAAGGCGCCGCGATTCGCTGTGCAGAGTTGCGTCCCTTGGGCACGCCAGAAACCTATGATTGTGGGTTCGATTCCCGGTTCGCCCCGATTATGTTTCTAGGTTTGTCAGCACCATACCCGTGCTCGTGGATTTCACCGAAGTGGTAAACGTCTGAGATCTGCATCACTTCGGGCTTTCCTCCCACATTAAGCTGACACGCCGCGATATAACTGGAATACTGTTAAAAGCGGCGTTAAACCCAACTCACTCACTATTTCAACATTGCTACGCGTTGTAAAGGTCTGAAAAAGATGAGGTCGTTTCATGTGCTGTGAGGTCAAGCGGTCAGATCAGTGAGAGATATGAATGTGATGTTGTGCCGCATTCAGCATTACCAAGGCCACTAGTGGGGATTCCCGGTAAGAATAGAAGCCCCAGCAACTTATACGCTGGTCGTAAGCTCATGAGAGGCGACTAACGGGATCGGGTGGTCAGGTTCGCTGAGTTGGTTGATGCATGTCATCGTATCCCAATGGCGTGGATCGATGCTCATGGAATCAATCACTGGATTGTCGGGTCCAGACTTGATTATTTACAGTCGTACTGCGGGATAATTGCTGGAAAGCGGCGGTAAACAACAAACAAAGTATGAAGCTATATAACGGCTGCCTGTTAACAATCGAGCCTTGTCCAGCCAAAATCAGTGGTTGATAGCAACATCAACGATCCACGCACTCCCGGTATAATGACATGGGGTCAGACATTGTGACCACCTAATCCTCATTTCAGACGACTCTTACGACATATGTGGGGACATATGGTCACGTTATCTTTCTCGCGATGGAATAGTGAAGTGAGGTGAATTGAATTAAACGTCGCATCCAAGATTATAGCATTTATATAGACACGTGCATGCACGTGTGTGTGTGTGGCTGCTTGTGCTAGTCCGGACTAATGCCGATTTTAGTGCTAGCCCACTGAGATACCATGCCGCGGTTTCACATGAATACCCCACTCAGACACAGTATACTGACTCCGAGCCGATCAGTCCTTGTTTTATCTCCTTAATTCCGAGCGCCAGACAGGGTAACAACAAGTACCATCTTTTAACGTATTTTGGTATGACGCGGCCGGGGATAGAACACCGGACCTACCGCTCTCCGGGCGGACGCTTTACCACTAGACCACAGAGGCGATGGAATTGACATCCATAAGTTGTTCGTGGTGTAGGTGACGTCGGCTTCATCAGGACAATACATGAAGCAAGTGATGTTTGCGTTGACAGAGAATGTATCAACAGCCGACCAAAAGAAAGTATTCACTTGAAAATTGGATTTGGAAAACGGGTAGGACGGTACACTGATAATGTACTTGGCTTTTATGTCAATATTTGTCATCGAGCCCGACCACCCAGTCCCGCTAGTCGCCTCGTGGATTGCTGAGGATAAATTCTAACCCGGATCTTCACGGGTCGTACATAATACTACTACTCGTTGGAGCCGAAAACATTCGCCTATTGAAGCCTTACTTGGGAGAGACGAAATAATCTTTATGCCGCAGTCACCAATAAAGCACAATTGTATTAGATCAAGTCTGTTCCACGTCAGAATATGATCCGAGTTAGTCTTCACTCGCCCCAAACCTTCCATCAACTTATCAAACTCGGAGCTAGTATTCCCATCCGATCCTCTTTTAAATCGGATCTACGTGTTCTGACAAAATGTAACTATCTACAAAGCAGGATTTGATCTACGCCGCGATTAATCTCACGGTAGTCTCCGCCACAAGCAACATAAAATTGATCAGACAACGGCCATGTTTGCGAAACCGGGAAACATATTAACGTTGATGAAAGTTCGATCGTAAAAAATACAAAAACACAAACAAACAATGTCTATCCTTTTTACCTTGACATTATATAGACATGTAACGTACGTCACTACTGCAGTCTGTCTTGGCGCTGAACATTCCGTGGATGAAGAGGGGTTTCTTCAATGAGAAAAGAAGCTTACTGCCTATTGTTTATGAGTCCGTTCATGAGCCAGATCGGACTGGCGGGCCTATTTCAGATGTCTCGAGACTAGACTCCCGCAAGGACTGTCAAATATCAATTTGGTTGATGTGCTTGGCGGTATAAATATATGTGTTGCTCCATGACTAGTAGAACAGAGCCATTTTTTAAGTCGTGCGTCGCGTATGGGTTTTGTATATGTGACTGAGTTCGGTTTAACGCCGCTTTACCAGTATTCCAGTTGTATCACGGCGTGTCTGCTTAATGTGGGAGGAAAGCCCGAAGTGATGCAGGTCGCAGACCTTTACCACTTTGGTGAAACCCACGAGTATGGGGCTGACACACGTAGAAATAGCATCAGGGCCAACCGGGATTCGAACCCACAATCATAGATTTCTGGCGTGGGTTACTATCTGATGTTGCGATGACATGGCGTTTTAAAGTGAGTGTTTGTAAATAAATTGGATATGTGCCTGCATGGAGTCCTACAGAATCATGTCAACAGTGCGAGGATCCGGTCACTTTCTCCCCACTACCCCCCACCTCCACCGCTATTTTTCATCTATCCCGTTTTCCTTTCCGTTCTCACCTTCTATGTACCTTCTGTCCTGCTCCCATTCTCTCTTCCAAAATTTTCCCTTTCCATTCCGTTCCCGCTTTTTCTCCTGCCCCACTCCTCTCTTCCTTTCTTATTTCTTGTCTCTTTCTCCCTTCTCTTTCTCCTGTCCGTTTTTCTCCCACCCCATGTCTTCGTCCTACTATTTCTTCCTTCTCTCTATCTCTCTTCCTTTCTCCTTTCTTGTCTCTTTCTCCTGTCCGTTTTTCTCCCACCCCATGTCTTCTTCCCACTATTTCTCCCTTCTCTCTTCCTTTCTCAATTCTTCCTTCTGTCCGCTCTTTCCCCCTTCCCGCTCTTTCTTCTGTCCGGTTCTTCTCTCCCGTCCCATGTCTCCTTATCTTCCTCTCTCATTCTCCGTTCTCCCCTTCCCGCACTCTCTTTCTTCTCCTCCCCCTGTCTCCACCCCCCACCCCCCCCCCCCCCCCCCCCCCCCCCCCCCACCCCTCCCATCCACGTCTCGTTCCCTCTCACTCTCACGGTGTCGCCGAGTTCTCATCACCAACACATTCTGGTGCATCAAGCAGCGTGACCAACTCTTCCCCGACCCCCAAGGGGTACACTTCTTACCCTCTCTGTACCCACACCGCTACTGCCGCACCGCGTCATGTTGTTTTTCCAGGTGGTACCTACAGACGTACACCGCAGATGTTTACGCGAACCTCCTACAAAGTACCAAAAACAATTCCTGTGGAATAGACATAACCCTTGCCGGAATCTTACAAGAAACCATGCTTGTTATTTGCGTAGTTTCTTCTCAAAGAAATTGAATTTACCGAAATGCCAACAAGGTGCGAAAATAACCCGAAATGTTTGCTGGAGCACGTGAATAGATAAACCATGTGCACGCGCATACTCGGGCACGTGTGTGAATTTCAACTCCAGAACGGAGCACGTAGAGTTCAAGGTTGCGTTACGTGACACAGATTACGTGCGTCGTGAGCCGGAAGTGTATGGTGGAGCACTCTCTGCCGTCGTTTTCAAGAATGTTTAACACGAAGAGCTTATATAATATGTACTTGCAATTTTGCTATGTTCCGTGACAGGCTATTTTAAAATTCGGGATAAGGTTTGTGTGTGCGGTTGTGTGTGAGTGAGTGTATGTGTATTTGTGGATGAGAGAGGTGGGGGTGGGGTGGGGTGGGTGGTGGTGGTGGATTTTGTTAGAGATACAAATAGGTGTATTGTGGTGGTGTGTGTGTATGTGTGTGTGTGTGTGTTGGGGGGGGGGGGGGGGGGGGGGGGGGGGTAGTAGTGGTGCTTATTAAAATAATCCCATGTTGACTGTTTGCGTGTTGGTGTGAGACTTAATTGCTATTTATTTATTGCATTTATTATTCGGCTATTTAAATATTGGGTTCTTCATAATTTTTTTTATTATTTTCCGGATAGTAGGTTTTCCGACTTCGCCGTTTTATTACGTTTCTGATTTAATCCGATTTAATCAGAAACCGACATTTCTTAATGTATTCAGGCATAACACTTCCCATGTCCGAATATACGAAACAAGTAGAAGACCCACCTTTCTG